GCTTTTTCATCAACTGATATTATTGTATTAGAAAAACTCGCAAGATTTATTATACATGTTTTATCGATCGACGTCCCTCCTGGTTAGTAAAATTGTGTTAAACAATTGAATGCACTGTCTTTGTTTCATATTTGTTTACGCATGCACTTTTATTATTGTATTATAATTATATACTAATTTCTCTGAAACATTATGTTCACGAGAATAAAACTATTCTTGTTCGTACTCTTTATAAAAACCCCGAATCCATGTATAGGAACAATAAAGATAACTTTCATGGTTTGCATTCGCCTACAGCCAATTAGGGATTAAATATTGTTTTTTTCCGCGAGTAGTAGGAGGGGGTAGTGAGTTCAAACTCCGGCCCGATGGAAACCGAAAAACTTTACAATTAGGCAGATTTTGTTATTTCCATGTAGTTTATTAGTATTTGTGGTCTTTTTATATCGTTTTATATGAATATCTTAATGTGTATATTATACTTATTTATTTATGCATGTATGTTAACTCAAGCTGACAAAATTAAACTATTACTGGTTTATATTTCTTTTATTTGAAAGCCCCGCTATTTGTAAACAGTGTACTCGTGGTCAAAACCGTAATATGCTATAAAATATGAAGTTCACATTATAATGAACAGTTGTCCTTAATTTCAAGTTGATGAGACCACATCTTCATGATAAACTACTTAAACCAAAAACTTAACAAAATATGGGGCGGACTAACAGAACAGAAAACGTACGGCCCCCTTTTATCGTAGGGGGGGGGGGGGGGGGGCATAGAATATTACAACCATAATAAGCTCTTCAAATAGGAAATTAAAGCGTTAGTTTCTTCATTGTTAAAAGTTTAAGTTTATACATTTGTACTCAATACTTGACTTTTACGCATCATTATGTGTATCTATTTTTGTCATTAATTTAACATTTCCGTCTATAGGTACTATCTCGTGATTTCGATTGTTAATTTTCTTTGTATGAATCAAACAACTATCAAAGTTTAAGTATTTTCTACAATTGTTATAAAATTGGGAAAGTACATTGTACACGTTGTTCAATTCGGTGCGATATAGAGCTTCACATATTGCAATGTTCACTCTAGATGTCTTCTTGTAATTGGTGTCGTTTGGTTGCTATCTCGTCGGTATATCTTTATACCTAATCATTTGTAAGTTTATCATTAGAGTAACAAGTCTGTTTTATTGTGTAGATCTACTTTGTGAATATCGGTTGTCGTTCGGTACAAGACAATTCTAAGATATATGAGCTTATCAAAAAATTAAACAATCTTCATAATAAAGAAATATATTTTAAATCTGTACAAAATTATGTCCCACATTTAGATTGTATGTCCGTTTTCTACATCGTATATTAATATAAGGTTAAGTCATGCATCTTTATATATTAATTCTCTGATCTTTCAAAGCAAACAATTTATCATTTACTGCCATTATCTCCATAACCAGTCATATAAAAGTGTTTACTTTACCGACAAAAATAATTTCAAAGAAATCCAAATACCCAGGTCTCGAGCAAGACTGTAGGTGATATATCAGGGACACCGTTTTATTTGTCTTATAGTTTTTAAAGTTACTTGATTTAAAATGAAAGTTGATGAAAAGTAAATGCCAATATTACTATTTCTCAAATAGTTTTTTTTCACATCATTGGAGGATGATCACAAACGTATGTATATGCGTAACATGTCTTGGTATAAAAAAACACTAAATACAAATGCATTCAAGGCATGTTATATTATGCCAAGGATGGTCATTTAACATCAATTAATACTTACCATCAATGTTAGCATCATGCTTTCCAGAAATACTTAAAATTGATATGATCAATACTAGTTTCTTTTTCGTTTTTTTTTTAAGGTAAAAATAGATGACGTAATCGTGATAATAATAGACGACTTAAAATACTACTTTTTGTTGGTGATACCAATCTCAAATGAGAAGCGCTTTTTGTATAAGAATAATCTCTGTAAACGGCAGTTAACATTAAATGTTTTTATCTGTAGAATTGAATCGGACTGGTATAAACAGCGACATTTTCTAGAAAAGCCTATATCTGAAATGAATGCACTTGTTTGCAGCTCTACACCATTTTTTTTATTTTATACTCATCTCAAACGAAACAGGGTATACAATACTTAATATCTTATGTTTTCTCATATCTGGATTTCTGCATTGAAAATAGCGAAATTGTCTTAAGTGCGATGTGTTTGTTAAAATACGACCGCAAATTCAGAACGTTAACAATACAAACGTATCAATGGATAATCAAAATCGGACTTCTTGTGCTCTTTCGTCGTGAAACTATAGTAGACGATTACACTGTAGAATATTGGCTTTTGCTATATATAATGTTTAATAGGTTTGTCTGGAGGAAAAGATATTTGGTTTTAGTATCAGGAAAAAAGGGTCTGCCAAAATTACTCTGTGGCAGATATAACGTAGATAACGTCAGAATTCTACAGAGTCCCTTCTGACATTTCGTTACGACACCGGTCTATTGTTAAGGCTTAACGTTTTCATAAATGTGTCTTTTTGGTAATTTTTGTCGTTTGGTTGCTGTTTCATTGACACATACTATACAACTCTTCTTCTGTTTTTTTTTTAATATGAATGAAAACAAATGATATCATTGTTTGGCGATATGACGAAACCTCTTTGAAATCATCGAATTGAAGAGGAACTAGATACATTAACGTATAATTGGCCAGGTACGTGGGTATCTAAATATGCAATAAAACATACAAATTAAATCTAAGTTGTTCGTAAAAAAAAGTATGATCAGAATCAAATCTTCTTTTCTCCTTGATTTTTATTTTAAGTAAATTTGAAAACTAAAGAACAACAAACAAGATTACCGAACTTCAAAATAAATTTAAAAAAGGAGAAATATCAATAGAAACTGACATAACCAAACACTCGACCATATCAACAACCTGAACGATTAGGAAACACCTGTTATATTCCCGACCTCATACCGGTCATTTCCAAAGAAAAATATGTATGACAGTTGAATATAATTCCGTTATTTTGACCAAATGTGATGAGCAACCCATCAAAGAAATAATTGGTTTAAATGATAATTATTGTTAACCAACAGGCAAAACAGTGTAAACATGCATCATAGATATACTACATTTCTCAGAATCTCGTGCTATTTTTTTATAATCTACTGTAATGCATGTGATGTATACAGAATAATCTTCAATTCACATACTTAGATTGAAAAGTTTTATTCACTGGCTTCGGCATTTGACTTTTTAGTATGGCTTGTCAAAGTGAGAAAGACTAAGTTTTATCTATTGTAAACACTTTACCTGTGCATTCATTTCACGTGAAATCTATAACGAAGTGTCTTTTTCTGTATATGTCTTTGAGCTCTTTAAAATAACTGTTGTACTAATGGGTTATATGTTACTTTTTGCTTGATGAATTTTCGTATGCTTTTGTCTTTCTAAAAGCTTAGCTCTTTCATAATGCACAGAGAATATGACACAGACATTCTACTTGGTAACAAGCAATACAGGTTACAAAGCACTATGCGATTATTGACAAACTCATAATCTATATATACAGGTTGCGTTAACATTTTGACTCCACATGCTATTGGAGTTATTACAATAAAATTAGTATTCGAATTTAGTATTCTCGATAATTTGCTATCTAAATAGACTCGGACACTTGTTTATTGTCAAAGACTTAATGCTGTCCTCTAGTTGTCATTTTGGTTATTTCTGCCGTTTAGGTGCTCTCTCATTAACACATTTGCCACACCTCTTAGAATTTCAAGTTGAAAACATATTAAATGAAATCATATACGTGTATACAAAGTTAGGGAAATACACAACACGCAAAAGGAAAAAAAAAGAAATGCGCTTGTATTGTTGTTATTCATCTTACAGTTACATTAAGGTGGTACCCAACACCTTGACTAATATTAATTTGGCTCGTTTAATTTTCATAAAATTTTGACAAAATGTTTACTTTGACCCTTTGATAAAAATATAAAAATTTCAAAAAATTTGAACCAACCACTTTATCAGAAAAATTTCATTGGTTATATAGCAGTTTGACAAACACTAATTTTGATCATTGAGAAGCTTAATATTTCCTGATTTTTACAGAGTTATCTCCCTGTAGTGTTAGGAACCACCTTAAGGCCTTTGTAACAAGTAGAAAAAAAAACAAAAAAATAAGAATAAAGAAATGGAATTGAAGTCTCATAAACTAAATAAACAATTACTGAGACAATAAGTATTTGAAATAAAACAATGAAATTGCAATGTTCATTACAATTTGTAACACTAGAAAATATTCTGATGATCTCTGAGGGTTTATTTAGAAAGGCCGCTTTATTGAGTTTTATTTACCTTTGCAGTGCCAGACGAATGAGGTTAGATGTCATACAATATACTCTGTGCCAAACGACCAAGATTTTGGAGTGCATACTCGTTTCCCCTATTTTACGAGATAACTAAAAAGTGCCGAAGCTCCCTGTTTAGGAAATTGTGATGCAAATACAACTAATTATTTTATTTAGTATTTGTTTCGTCATGGTTGTTGTCTCCTGAAGGAATTATTCATAATACTAGTGGCTATGTTGCAGGTGTTTCGAACTTTATTTTTCACAGGATGTTTATCTGATCATAAAATGAATATACGTTATAGCATGTTCTATAAATGTAATTACATAAAAAGAAAAGAATAAAGTTGTTTCCGTACAATTTGAGAAAAATTGATTTTCATGTCAATAAAAAACACGTTTTCTCCGATAATTATACAATTACAGTAGTCTATCATGCATTGCAACTCATTCACTGGATAGGTCAATAATCCAGATAAAACAATGAGTACTATGTAAACAAACCAGTATACAGGCGGGAACATTAGTATGCTGAATTATGCATACCCGTTTAAAGATCATGTAGTGTACCGACCTGTTAAAAACCGCCAAATTAAAAGGTTGTATAGTTGAACGTATATGTATTCTTCAATACTTTATTAAATAAACCCATCATATTAAAATACCAGGATTAATCTTTTGCACGCCAGAAAACATATATAATTACACAATTATACGAACTTTCCAAATAAAGTACAAATCTAACAAATTGAGATATAATTAGTACTCAAGAAACACATAGTCTCTTTGTTACTATTTTCAAATCGTCTTTGATTAGAGTGTATAACATTTGCAAACATTTTCATTATCTATAACAAAAGCGTTCAAAAACCAAAGCCTATATAAAGTTTAATGTTTGTTTTTGTCTTTTTTTTCTATAGCTGGAGATATAACATATTTTTTATATTCTGAAATGTTCTTACGGAACGTATGTTCGAATGGTATTTTTTATTGGTCCTCTGCAAATTGGACATCTGTTGTTTTCATATTTTAGATGTGTATAACAGGATTCACACAATGAAAAATGGCCACATGGTTGGATTGTTATCTGCAGTGGATTTGTTAGACAAACTTTGCACTGCAGTCTCTCATCTGTCGTTGTGTCTAGTGAACTTGAAGACAAAGACGTAATTGCTACGTACTTATTTCTATCAGAAGCATCTAAAGAAAAGAAAAAAACTTATTTTCACCCAATGGCGTTTAAAACATACGGAGGTTGAGTATGTAATAATTTGTTTAATGCTCTAAATTTGTGTTCAATGATTGTGATTTTACATAAGAGACTAACTGTTCAATGATTAGATTCACAAGTAGAGGATGTGACGACACCATTTATATATAAAAAATCAACTATAAACCGCATGTCAGATGTTACCGCACACTTTGTTTTACGATATAATACATGTGTTACTTAAGGAGTGACAATATACCAGGGGTGAACTCATGAGCTCTGGAAGTGTGTGCAGATACTGCTCCAATATACGCACCTATCGTGTTGCTCAAGATCATGAAAGTACTAAACCGGTGATAAATCTTATCATATGTATAAGGTATATCAAATTTGAGGATAAGAGAACAGGATTGTGGTTACGACAATCTAAACATGTCCGTCGTCATCTGTGAAAAAGATTGAAAGACTTTTTGAAAATTAAAGTTATTTTAAATTTCAAATGAAACAAAATATTTTTACTCTATGTTGAGACAACTATACAAAAAAAAAGTATGTTATTATTGCAAATGAGACAGCTCCCTACCAAATGACATAAAAGTTTATATCTATAGGTCACCGTACGGTTTTCGACAATCAGCAAAACCTATGCCGTATAGTAAGATATAAAAATATAAAGGGCCCCGAAATGACAAATGTAAAACAAAAAAACGAAAACGAAAAACTAAAGGTCAGATTTACAAACCAATAAACGAAAAACATGTATGATATTCTGCAACAAACGACAACCACTAAATTATAGAAATACATCGAACTTGTTCATTTTGATGCCAGATAACTATGCGAGCAACAACAATTATGACATCACGTAGCGTCATTAATGTAAAACTGTCTCGCAGACACGTAAGATATCAGACTAACGAAATAAACCTTACAAAATATAAAAAAGTAAAGACAAAGTATGGTATTTAAATCTTGAGGTATCCATTGTACATTGGTCTGACCTATGTTCTTAGAGCAAAACAGACACCAAAAAAAATGCTAACAAATGTTCGTCTTTTTGATAATCTTGCTAATTAGGGTCATAATTGTAAAACTAAAAGTATACTACTTACCATTCATTTCGATATTCTAAAACAGAATACGTAGATTTAAATAAAAATAGCTTGCGAAACCTCTAAATATATTATATAGATAACGTTGTTTTGTTGCGTTCTTTAAGGAAAAATTGTGTCTTTGTTTTTATTAGTGTGAAATCTCAGTAGACAAAAATTGTTATCATCATTAAACCGAATTTGATATCATAGATAGACATTACTAACAATATTGAGTCATATCATGTCGTTAAACCGATTTTATCTGTACTGGTTTATGGGTTCACAACAGCCAGCAAAAACATTTTAATTGTGAACAGATAACGATTACTATTCCACATCAACTGATACCGCCACAAGTATCTAAGTAATACAAATTGCCAGAAAATCTGCATTTCTTTATATATGTGTCCATGTTTGTTGAAACCATTTTTTTTTACCTTTCAGGCTACTTATATAGTATATCCTGGAATATGGCGTTGAAGTGGAATTGTCCCCAAATACGGAAAGTGATTTTATTACTAGATATTTTACTTGAGGGTATTAAATTTTAGGACACTTGAAAAAAAATTGAAAACAACACGTTTAATAATTTCATGCGTCCGAAGCGCTTTTCTGGATTTACCTTCATCAGGAACGCTCAAAGCCAAACATTTGAAATCCGAGGATGAATAAGTACCGAAACCGTTGAAGAGCTATATGACAAAAATACTTAAAATGAATAGCCAAATTCATTCTAAAATCTGCCTGAGGGAGTTGAAACCTTAGTTTCTTAATAATTTCAAAATTTAAAAACGGACAATTTTAGAAAAGTTTGTTAAATCATGTCAGTACCGAAGTACTGACTACTGAGCTGATGATACCCTCGGGGACTAAAAACTTACCTGTTCACAACTGTTGGATTCAAACTTGTGAAGGTCTACACACGACTGAATGCCATCTGCTATCAGATCTATTATATATGGACAGTCTGGTTGTAATAGATTATGTGTTTTGACAGGATCGTCATCTTTCTGCCATCGTCTATGTACCAGACCACACTCAAAACAAGCCACGATGTCGGCAAATCCTGTTAAAGAGACGTGAACTGTAGGTTCGTTGTTGTCTTATTGATGTATCCCAGATCTTTTATTCATTCATATATAAAAACAATTATAGGATTGCAGTTTTCAATTATTTATTTAAAAAATAAAATGATACATATGGTCACTTGATAATTTCCACTGATTAGGCCACACACCTTTGATATCTTGATCTTTGGACATCAGCTCTAAAAATAAAGCTAAGGCGAACGAACAAAATTTGTGTTATTTTCATTTTGTTTCTTGAAAATGAGTTTCTTACAGGCGAGTGATATACAAAAAAAGAGAGCAATACTTCAATTGTGTGATTTCAAAGTGTTTAAATTAATTCATGGACATGCGATTACTGGCCATGGATTATTTAATATCAAAACAAAACAAGGAAACAACAGATGTTTAAATGCGCACAGTTTCATTTATTAGTTTCTGTATTTTATCAGACTTTTTTTAGTCACACTGTGGTTTTTTTAACATTTGTTAGTATGAATTTTCCTATGACTTTAAATGGTTGAAAAAACAACAACAACAAAAACACTGCACATCCGTTTTGTATATCATAGAAAACCATGCATCCGTTCATGGATCAACTTCTTATTGTGAAGATTTAAAAACAAAAGTACCTAAATCCTAGATAATTTAAAGGATGAGGAAGACTTAAAAGCTGACAAAACAAACTCTCGACCATAACAACCAACGGGCTGGAAATCAACATGTATACTATAGTTAAGTGTTTAATAAACGGAAGTACGCTTATTAGGTTAATGGCACATTTTGAATACAGTATCAATATGTGTACGTATCCAAACATCTGTCCCTAAGATATTTATGACATAAGTTTGTTGTCATGCTATGGTCAAGATTGTTTGATTGCTGCTGAATATGGGAACTGTTCATACACATGATAGGTCAAAATAGAGATTGAGATGAGTCTATTGCTTTGTTCTAGAGCAAATTGATCAGCAAGATGTTTATCTTGCTAGCTCCCAGAATATCAAAATTTTCCTTTGAAAGGCCTGTGACCCTATTGACATACAGTAAGTATTCTGACTGACAGAACCACTATTTTGTTTTACTCCTCAAACCAACACATAATTTTAAAATCTTTTGATAGAATAAAAGTGGTAAAATAAATGACCCTAACCCCTATTAAGGCGACCATACCAGTCACAAGACCATCACTTATGTCATGTTAATACTTGTTGAATTCAATTTATCAATACAAGATTTCTGCTAGCATGACACAAGACCAATAGAGGGAAATGAGACTATCAAAATAAATGCTTTAGTGATTTGTTAGATAAGGTCACAGATATTTACAATTTAGTTCATCCAAAACAGATATGTTGAAGCCTATGGAAACAATGGTGCAGGATCGCTGGTTACGGTAGTTGTGGGTAAAATTAATGTGTTTGTGATCATCAAACGCAATAATCTACGATTTAATGTTTGTTTCGTAGACAAGTCCTTCGAACGTTTACACGTGTGATTAGAAAAAGATAAGAGGTAAACGCTAAAAAACGAAAAAAAAACCCAACGAATAATGCAATCGTAAAAACATCAAGATGACAAGCTCTAAATCATCCAGAGTCTATATAAGTTCTAGAAATTTAACAGAAACAAATCAAATCAATGCCATCAATACCAATCCCCAAAATAACAAAACACATATAGATAGATTGACGTCGTACTTGCACGATCTGTGGATGAAATTTAAATCAGTTTCATATGTACACATGAGCACACCTCACCCTTTACATATCAAGAGTATATGTTGTAAAGATTAGACACTATTAATCCTGCACAGTCCAACTAGCAATTTGGAAAGCACGGCCTACAAGTGCCCGATACTACATGTACAGGATGCTTCCGTTTAAGAAAGAACAACACTCTTAACATGGTTTATAATGTTTTAGCTAAAAACGTATTTGAAATCGGTATTTTAGAATTACATGCACGTAATAAGTGTGAAACCCTTAAGCAAATTTGTAATGCAAAATAAAAAAAAAAATACTGTGGCAAAACACAGGAAAGCTGTATCAATAGAAATGAAAAAAAATTTTTTTTTAGCAGTATTAGATCAGAAAGTGTTCTGTAATTTGCTCTAACTGTTACTCGTGGTTCAACAAAATAAATGAGTAATAGATATAGACCCTTCGTTCATTTCACTGCAATTTGTTAGAAAATCTTTAAAAATAAAAGAAAATGATTTCCGTTTTGAGAATTGTATTGTTTTATTTAATCTGATGTAATTGAAAAGAGTACCGGTCAAGAATTGTGTTATGCTTCATTTGATGCCGAAGCAGGCTAAAAATATTACGAAATGCGATCAAGTTTAGAGAAATGTCATGCACTTTAACAAATACTGTGCATGAAATTTGGAAAAAAAGTGAGGTTTAATGAATATGTTTGAGCTAAAACTTCTGCCAAATTGTTATATATAATATAAATTGTTAAGTTAAACGTATTAGATCTATTTTCCACGATATAACTTGACTTGCAACAAAAATAACTTCGTAAAAGATAAAATATGAAAATTGACATCTAACAAACAAATGTTTTGTGATTATATGTATAACCTATACATTTATCGGTTTAAGAATATCTTCTTATTTTTGAATCACTGGACTAAATCTAGCCTATGCATACATCCTCTTTTCATGTACATGTATACATTATTTTCCTTGTTAATAACTACAATCAACTCTACTTATTCAAGGAAAACACTAATGCATGACATGTCAATAGAATAAGAAAGAGACAACTTTCAAAGTATGCAATTCAATTGTAATTCGCAGTGAAGTATTTTTTTTTTAAATAAATAATACTTTGTTGTTATTTTGCGTATCATTTCCTATTTTGGCATTTTCGGTTGTTCTGTTGATGTTTTTACCATGAATATTTACATAATTTAACAAAAACAATAACCGAAAAAAACCCAAAAAAAAAGAACACAAAATGCAGTCGAAAACAGTTGAAACAGGGTTGTGCTGTTTTACAAATTACCACAAAGCTTTAGAAAGTCCTGGACACACCTTGACGCTTTATAAATATATATAAAAGCATTATTTTTAGGGAAACCAACCTGCAAATGCGACTGGTATTATTATTGTGGATTTGCAACCCGTTAAACTTGTATTTACCTTTGTAAAAGAAACCTGCCATAGCAAACATCCATATTGGTAACGTGCACGTTGATTGCCAACCAATAAAGGATTGTTTCCGAATTGTCAATTTTGAGTAAGATCTAAACTTTGCACGATTACTCCGCTTTTCGTTTCCGTCACCAATTTGTTTTCGTGTGAACAGCAATTGTTGTTTCTTTTCAATTAGTTCATTTGCATGTTCATCTGTATGTGCGACAAATCCTTGATAACTGATTATCCCATTTTGATGTTGTCTTATTGTGGTCTGTACAACCGAACCAATATATTCATTTTGCATGTTTTGAGAAATGTTGTTTTTACTTTCATTATGGAAAACGCCTCGATTTTCTGCAAAACCTCCGAACTGGCCACTACAATAGACTTTGGATCCTGAGTCTACATCAGCGACGATATTGTCCGTTGGAAATGTATAAACCTTACTCTTTGATCCATCAGCACTACACTGAACGCTCATATTTTCGATTCTTATGGATACATGTTATGACCTGCTAAACAATGTAATCAGTTTTATTATCTTCCTGGTTTATATTTATCATCATTTCCTAAAAATAGTGTGCATATTTACATGCTATTGATAATAGTAGAATACTTTACAGTGAAAAGGTTATAAAGTCAATCATAATTATCAACAACTATATTATAATTGACATGTCCGTAATGTTCAATTAGATAATTATTAATAATTCACTTTCTGTTTTTACCTTAACTTTTATGTTGTGATTTTCAATTGTAGTTAAGTACAGTTGAATTACATATTATAATAGCTTTTTTAACGAATAAAAATTTCCGATAACACATATATATATATAATAGTACTTGGGACTTAATCTTAATTGCGGAATCGGGATTTTGACGGAATATGGAATGTTTTTCGGAAATTTTAAGAAATATTTCCGAAGTTGAAAATAAGTGTTACATTCATATATTTAATGTTATCAGCATGTTGCTCTGTTCCTCAATGTTCTAATCAGCGGGGTCATGTTTTTCCACAAGATAAAACATTGACAAAGAAATAAATTAAAAACAAGATACCAGAGAATAACCATAGAGAGAAATCCAGCATTAAGTGCAGGTCTTTAAAACTTTCTAAAAAGTACACTTTGACTGAACAACAAACAGACACACAACACAACATAGAAAACTAACGACTGATCAACATGTAAGAGTTCATAATAACGTAGTTTTAATATTACGATTTGTTTGACCTGTTTTCATATGTTTCAGTATCTACAAATCTGTTTACAGTGATATGAAAGTGTGAGCCTGGAGTAAAATTTTTGTTCAGTATTACGGTTGAAAATACAAAGAGGGTTTTATTTTCATGGTGTGTATGTTTTGTCTAATCGTTCACTGATCTTGAAAAAAGTATGTCCAGCTCAAAATGGCATCTAATCTAAAATAACTTTCTATCATCAACACCATTTTCCGCAAATGACAAAAACTGTAGGGAATAAAAATTTGCAAAAACTAACGCTGTTCCGGACATTGGAAAGCACGATGACCAGTAAGCTACACCCACACGTCTGGTTTTTAAAACTAACTTTTTTGAAAAACATTAATTTACTAAATAACTTGATATATTGAAACAGCTAGACATACCATTTTTGTCACCATATACCATCTGTAACAAGACGTATGACTTACTAACAAGGTTAAATTACTCTGTTTATCCATCGATATCAACAACATAAACAAAAAGTATAATGATATCAAATTGTGTACACAATAAATCTGATACAAATATACATTTAATAAAATCAATGAGATAACTACTTACATGTACGCTTTGTTAAAATCAACCGGTTTCTATTTTTAGTTTACTAAGTAAGCTTCCGTATATAAAATTTCCAATTTCGTATGTGGTATTTGTTCATATGAACTGCATAACTTTAAACTTGTTGACCTAAAATATAAAAGAAATATTGAAGCGTGATAATAGTTTTAAATGTAACATAGAAGTTTCAAATGATATACATTTCAATCAATATTTATACATGCTAAACATAAATAAAATAAACCTTATGCTTATGTCAGTTGTGCTTTCTTGTATTTCATTTGTTATCATACTTGTTTTTCAATTGCTGTTATATGTAGATAAATTGTAATAGATTCTACTTTTTTGATGTTCACATAGTTTTTATAATCTCATGTCAACAATGTGTCGAATGAGGTATCTCAATTTCTCTGACTGAACAGAATTGTACAAATTTATCCTCTGTTAAATTTTTAAATTACTAAACCGATACTACCAAAGGCACAAAATAATGTTACGACGCATGAACATAAAGCCCCCAATGGTAAGCCGGATATATTTGATCAAATTACAGGAACCTTAGTCCTCTATAAGTTCAGATTTAAGTGTGGTTCTTGTTTTTTTAGTTAAACCTCATGTTTACATTTGTGTTTTGTTTTTACTTTGCCTCTTACTTTGCCTATTACATGTATTACTTTGTGGGTTTCTTTTGAAATTTGAAGTCATGGTCAGGACGTTGGCAATCTTCTGTTGATTTTTAATGTAAGAAACATATTCTGTTTGTTTTGAATTCTTAAGAGTTCTAAAGGATACCTTACTGAAAATCATATTTATTATAATTCAACTTGGAAAATATCAGCAATTATTACATTTCTATTTCATTCATAACTTGTAGACCTGTACTGACTTCCACTACGTGTTGATTAGACTTTTGTCTGGAAGGATGATTAATATTTCTTTTGCATCATATCAACTTTAACTGCAACAAAAGGTAACATATTGCAAAACAGTTCTTTGAGTTCGAGTTCTCGAACATTGTTTACGATGAAAACGATTCCTAGACGACCGGATGATGTAAGTTAATTGCTGCTTATCAAAACAGACATTCAAAAGAGAGGCGAAGGATACCAAACGGAAATTCAAACTCATAAGTCGAAAATAAACTGACATCGCTATGGAACAAAAAAGAAACAGACAAACAGACAAACAACAGTACACAAAACAACATGTAAAACCAAAGACTGAGCAACACGAACCCCACCAAGAACTGGGGGTGATCGCAGGTGCTCTGGAAGGGTAAGCAGATCCTGCTCAACATGTGGCAACCGTCGTGTTACTCATATTAGTACAAAACCGGTGATGTTTCTAATTCGGTAGGTCACATTCAGAGGAAGGGGACGAGATTGTAGTTACGACATTGGAACATATCCATCGTCATCTGTGAAACAGATATTCCATAGCGGTCAACCAACTCGTGATGCTGTCCGTAAAATTTACGACGGGATGATTTCAACTTCACCAATTGAAACTCTTGGTTTAATAGCTTCCTTGTGAGCAGCAACCCTCTATCAAGGAAATCATGATAGGAAACACAAGCCCTGGAATATCGTATCAACTGGGAGATACATACTCCGTATGCAGGCTCTGCTGGAATGTTGCTACATAGAAATGGAAAGTTTACAATTGGGAAGCTTAAATACATAAGATACATAACAAGATGTACACTCTCTCATTAACGCAAATCTTAGAAGGTACGATTGCGATTTCAGAAATTTGAAATCAAGAAGAATTCTCATTGTAGTAAAAATTCAAAGATAACAAAAATGATGATTTTGTAAAGACTTGAATATTAAATAAAACTATAGTTATATAGCTTACAATTTTTAGATATAAACTCAACATCGATACCAGGATTCAAATGTTGTACGCCAGACGCGCGTTGCAGACGCGAATGTCGTCTACAAAAGACTCATGAGTGACGCTTGAAGCAAAAAAGTAAAAATTTCCAAATATAAACGATGTTGAAGAACATTGATGATCCAAAATTCTAAAACGTTTTACCAAATGCAGCTAATTTTAAGGAAATCTAATTCTGGGATATAAATTTCTAAATATTATGAAAATTTCAAAGATTTGCTAACAGTTAATCTATAATTGTGACCAGGCCGATGATAATTCATGTCAACACACACGTGCTGACTACTGTGGTAGTGATACCCTTGGGGAGGAAACCTCCACTAGCAGTGGCATCAACCCAGTGCGCTACGTGGTTGTAGATAAACTCATCAGAGATACCAAATTTTGCACGCCAGACCAGCGTTTCGTCTACAAAAGACAAATAATTGCGATCGAATAAAACATTTTAAAAGGCGAGTATTGAGGACCAATGGAAATATTAGCATCATATTTCATATGCATGTTCATTTTGATAGAGACAATAACAATAAGCATACAGTTGTATCAATATCAACATGTGGAATTATATGTCATTAAATAAAGTACAAAGTACAAGCAAGACGAGGACAATTTGAGAAACCGTTAATTTGAAATAAAGGCCTAAAGTTTGTCAAAACGAGATAAATGTTGATACTGTTTACATTCCTTTTGCAATTACGCAAGGTCCGGCGTTTCTCACACATTTTATAAAGTCTTTACAGCAAATCCGTTGCATGTGTAATAATTTATAGTGTCTTGGAGAACCTGGTTTGTTTATTAGTTGTAACTGTTTTGAACTAGATTTCAGTAAATGAAAGTACCCTAATGTTGGTGCTATGTGTCAATTAGTTTTATGTTATTTGTTTTTGTGCCTAGTACCGATCGTTTGAGTTTAGCCAATTGTAACTGATTGTAACAGTTTTTTTCTTATGTTGTGCTGTACCACCCTTATCCTTGGTTTATGTGCCCGTCTCGTGTCAGGAGTCTGTTCAGTAAGTATCGTTGGTTTATGGCTGTTATATTTGTTTTTCGTGAATTGTTTTGTTAAAGATTATGCATTAGTTTTCTCAAATTTATTGTTTTGAATTTTTCGTGTCGGGGCCTTTTATAGCCGACTATATGGTATGGGTTTTCTCACTGTTGAAGGCCATACGGCTGGCTATAATTGCTTGCATCCACTTTATATGAACTTTAGTGGATAGGTGTCTAATGGGTAGTCATACACACTACATTGTATATATGTTTTATTATTATATTGTCAACTCTTTTTCACAAAACATTTTTGAATTGAAAATTGCAATTGAGCAACACGATGGGTGTAACATATGAAGCATGATCTGCTTACCCTTCCTGAGCACCTGAGATCATCCTCATGTTTTAGTGGGGTTCGTGTTGCTCAGTCTTTAGTTTTCTATGTTGAATTTCGTGTACTGTTGTTTGTCTGTTTGTCTGTTTGTCTTTTTCCTTTTTGGCCATGTCAGTTTATTTTCGACTTATGAGATTGAATGCCCCTTTGGTATATTGCGTCTCTCTCTCTCTTGCACGCTCCGTGAGGTTTTAAAAGTTAGAAAATTTACATAACCGACGATGTAGGAATCTGATGATGTCTTTGGGTTAGGGTTAATTACCAATCCGCTATGGTGTGATATCTTATCACCTGATATAACATATTTTATAGGCGTATCACGACGGATGTCAAATGTGAAGCGGCGTATGCTTAGCTTTCCTAGGCACCTGAGATCACATCAAATTTTTAATTTGGTTCGTGTTGCTTAGTTTTTGGTTGTTGATGCAGTGGTTTATAGACCGTTGTTTTTCATTTGTTCATTTTCTTCATGGTTTGACATAGTATTTTCAGTTCTTTTTTTTTTTTTTTGATTTATGAGTTTTAATATCAAATTGGTTATCGTCCGTTTCTCTTGAAGGAATAACTAACGAATAATATGAGCATCATATTGTTTATTCCAGTTGATTCTGTTACAGACATTGACAAGGAGGTGGCGCTATAACTGAATAGACTTATTTTCAAAGGTAAACATACTTTGTTTATTTCAGTTCTGTTAACATTAACAATTTTTTTATTGCACAATTAAGTTGTTAATAACTGGCCTATATGATATAGTAAGAATACTTATAATGATGTTGTTCTATCGCTGTGTCTGTTGTTTAATTCGTAGATTTCATTTTGCTTAATGTATAGTGTTAAGGTAGATGGGGTGTCTAAATTATAATCCATAGAATTTTTTAATAATTTGCCAAAATGTAGTTTATATCATGCTTTTTAAAAAAAAATAATAAAAAGAATGGGTCACGGGCCTTATTTTCACGCTACAGGTTGTGCAAAATTGACAGATTTTGTATAGATTATGCATGGAAAACCCAATTTTCTGCCATAAAATGAAAACTACACCATAGAATTTTGAGATAAAATATGAGAAGATAGGTCTAATAGTATGCTTTCAGATAAGAAAAAGAAAAAATGGGGTCACCGGACCCGTTTTCATGCTACATAATAAAATAGGTAAATTCCTAACACATTCTATTGTAAAAGTAACATTATGTGAATTATCTGCCCTTACATTTGAGTTGCTTCCCCTTATGTGGCAAAGTTGGAAAAAATAGAATCAAACAAAAGTATTCTGTTTTTTTTGTAAAATACAACCATAAATATGATAAAATATGTCATTTTCTATATTGAAATGAATATTCTTACACATGAATTACCACCTATTCTCAAAATTTGCACCTTTTATTATAAATCTAGACCGACTGTTTTCTGGTATTTCAAAATCCAAGATGGAGGAAGACACCCTATCTACCTTAAGAAATACATTAACTGTACCAATTGTATTGTGCAAATCGACAGTTAGTCTCTACAGTGATGCATGAGGCCAAAACATTTTGAAAACCAAACACATAGTTTTAAACACCCAAGTGCTGACAAAACCAGAAAAGGAAAAGTATTGAACGGCATGTATTTTCATTAGTAGGTAAAATGTTTTGACCTAACTTTTTTTCACCTCTTCAAGCACTCTCCAATAAGCCAAGATATGTTACTGTAATTTGTGTTTATTAAACTTCTTATACCGTTTCGTTTCATGTTAGTGCTTATTTTTTTCAAATTGTATGATCTTCTTGTACGTGCAAAAGTTTTCGTTTGTCTTATTGGAGTATTTGGTTTTTGTTGCAGTTCT